GAGAAACAGAAATGTTTACGTGGCCTTCTGCCAGAAGGTGATGAGCAATATAAATTCATTTGGACACCTTACAAAAATGGCTGTAAAGAAACATTTTGTCCGAAGTCACATCTCACTTCCAAAACGGAGCTAATGCATCATCAAAATTCTCAAAGTCCAGAAATTTCAAGGTTCGGTCTAATCCTAAATCCAGAAAAATAAAAAGCAAAATGTACGAACCAAATGGTCGCTGACTGCTCCTGCAACCCGCATCGTGTTTCGTCGCTACAGTCTGAAATTACGCTTTATGTTTGACAGTGCTCCTCAGCAAGAGGACGAAAACACGTAGTGATTTAAAAACAGCAAAAAAATGTAAAAGCGCAGCCACAGAGTACGAGAGAGGGAGTGGTTATCTCCTAAGGGCATGCCCTCCCCCTTAGACGTGGTATCAGCGTTGCTCAGGGTCACAGGTACTACTAATGAATGTAGCGTTAGTAAAATCCACACTCTACTCATCACGAAAAGTTCAATTAAAAACAAAAAACATTCCAGAAGCCGTCTAGGTAAAAACAAATAAAGAGCTCATACACTTACTGTGTGGCGAGGCAAGAAGTGGGGACTGAGCTAGAGAATTCGTACAATTACGAAAATTAAAGTCTCCTAGCTTTGGGGTTGGTTAAAAAGTCAGGTCAGAAAGAAGGAATGAGAAAATAATAGACATCAGTGGGAAAATCTCACTTGGAGGTTTATGGCCAACCTCACAGCTTTTCATCACACACAGGGTACAGATTCTACAACAGTTGTGGGCAGAAGGTGGCCCCTGGGTCACAAAAGGAGGAAGGGAGGACACTTAAAGGGTCCCAGTGGAATCCCGGCCAGAAAAATGCAACTTCCACCAGCTGTGGTCAGCGAGGGTCGGCTGGAGGCACACACCTTTCACCCACTTCACAGCCTTTGTATCAAAGAATCGATCCTTTCTAAAGGCCGTGGTCCTCCTCCAACAATGGAAAAGCAGCAACCACCCTTACCTGAGGGGCTGGCTCCTCAATAACAGTCCACTGATTCACAAGATGACAAACGATCTCTTCCCTCAGGCCTGAAGGTCTCCCAGGTGTTTCTGAGTGTTGGTTTATATTTCACACTAAACAATGCCCTAGACCAGGGTTCGGCAAACTGCATGGCTCTGAAGTCAAATTGAAAATGAAAATAAAACTATGTTTCATTTATAAAATTTTTAAAGGACTTAAAATTTTTCCTTATTTATAAAAATATATTTATGGCTCTCAAATAATTTTTAAATTGTTGTGAGGGACAGGATTGGCTCTTCCATCTCAAAAAGGTTGCCGACCCCTGCTCTAGGCTAATGATATGAGAAGCTAGATCCTTACTAAATACTCTGTGTAGCAAACAGTAGCTGACACCTAGTTCTTTAGTGAACTAGGACTTCAATCTATGTAATTCTCGTGACTCCTCTTTCATCTTGAAACCTAGAAATATCTTTCCTTTCCTACTGATTCACTTTTCAATTATATGTAGATTTAAGCAGTCTCAGCCATCTTTAGCTGGTCTCTATTCAAATAGTATGCTTTTGGGCCGGCCGAGTGGCGCGTTGGTTAAGAGCTNGCTCCCCTGAAATTGGTGATTACTTTTTAGATGCTTTTGTTTGGTTATTATTTGGGCGACACTTCAAACTTGTTGACACTAACATGTTGGTGATACTGTGTCCCACAGTGTGCCACCAGCAGAGACCTCCTAATGGACTAGCCGGGCCATGGGCCCGAGACCGGAGGGTCCTCCGAGAGGGCTAGCCGGGCCATGGGCCCGAGACAGGAGAGCCATTCTTGTACCCTTTCCTTGAAAAGTGTGTGCTTTGACTCAAAATTCTTCCATTGATAAAAGGGGGAAATGCTTACTGTAAGGACAAGGGTATTTTGTGATACTGCTCTTTTGTTTAAAAAGTTCAGGGCAAATGTTAAATATAGCTCTTGTTAATATCTGTAATAGACATTTAGGGCAGAGGTCTTTAACCTAGGGTTCAGCGATGGCCTTTTGGGGGTCTGTGAACATATGCAAACTGTGTTTAAAGATTTTTTTTTTAATTGGGGAATTGGGGGGATGGGAACAGTGCTGGGGAATTGGGGAAAGGGGAACAGACAAGTTGCTGTCGTTTTGTTCTTCAATCTNAAAAAAAAAAAAAATGGGGGTTTTTCATTAGCAGAATGGTAAAAATCCAAAAGTTTTAGTACACAAATGTTGGGGAGGCAGTGGAAAAACAGACTAAAGAATTATCAAAACTAACACTGCCTTTGGGCAACTCCACATCTAGATAAGTATTGTGCAAATATACTGGCACAAATGCAAAATGCCAGACACACAAGGTTTTTTAATGCAACTTAGCTTGTAACTGTTTATAACAGTAGCTGTACTAGCTTCCCATCGCTGCTGTAACCGAGCACCACAAACTGAGCGGCTTAAAACAACACGGATTTATCACCTTACAGTTCTGGAGGTCAGGAGTCCAAAATGGGTCTTTCCGGCTAAAATCAGAGGCCTGTTCTTCCTGGGGGCTCCGGGGAAGCATGCGTTTCTGAGCCTTTTCCAGCTTCTAGGGGCTCCCCGCAGTCCTTGGTTCCCGACCTTGCATCGCTCCCGGCTCCGCTCCGTTCACATCACCTTCCTGGCTCCCACACGCCTCCCTCCCTCTTGTAAAGACTCTTGTGACTGATTGCATTGGGCCCACCTGGATAACACAGGCTAATCTCCCCATTTCACGGCCCTTAATCACACCTGCAAAGCCCCTCGTGCAGTGGAAGGCCGCACACTCACAGGGTCAGGGGAGCAGCACGTGCACATCTGTTATTCAGCCAATCACAATAGCAAAAGACTGGTAACAAACTGAAGGACTATCAGCTGTAGACTGGTTATATAAAATACCGTTAATTCATACAGTACAATACGATACAGTTGGTTTTTAAAATGAGAAAAGTCACATCTGGATTCAACAGAAAGCTCTCCAAAATATAATTTAGGTGAAAAAATAGCCAAGTGCAGAACAGAGAAATGGGCGTAGTGTACAGCCGAGCCAGGGGAGGCACGGCTTTGGCCTGCGAGGGTCCACTTACACACGGGGCTTTCCCGTGGACCGGCACAGGTCACAGCCATGTTGTTCCAGGGTCAAGTGTACATAATCTGTGTGTCTGTGTAGTGTTTAAACTACCCCTGGAATGATTTATCAGAGACGGACGATGGCGGCAGCCCCCAGGGCAGGCGCTGGGTGGCAGTGTTACAGAATGAAGGGCTTTTCTCCACACACTCTTATAATTTTTGAAACTTGTAACTATTACTTATCTGAGAAGTAAAACAGTCAAGTCTAGAAAAGTAAAGAGAAAACAAAGTGCAGAAGGAGCGCTAAGTGGTCGAGATCAGCGGCCAGCTTTCCACACACAGGAGGTGGCGTCTGACTTCCAGGCGGCCTCGCAAATTCCCCCACAATTTAGTGGCTGAAAACAAGTACCTACTAGCTCCCGGTGTCTGAGGGTCAGGAATCCAGGAACGGCTTAGCTGGGTGGATCAGTTGAGGTGTCAGCCGGGGCTGCCGTCCTCTCAAGGCGAGGCCGGGGCCGGGGGTCTGCCTGCCTGGGGCAGCTCACCCACTGAGCTGCCGGCAGGAGTCAGTCCACACTGGTTCTTGGCCCCTGCTCCTCGCCATGTGGGCCATTCCACAGGATGCTTGAGTGTGTTCCCGACATGGCAATTGGTAGGTGATCCAAAGGAGATAGAGGATTAGAAGGAGGGGGAGAGGGGGAGACTGAAGGCCAGCCCCAGGCCTTTGTAACCTAGCCTTGGAAGCGACATGTCACTTCTGCCGTACGCTACTGGTCACACACACCAAGCTTGGTCCAGTGAGGCAGAGTACAGGCGTGAGAGCGCCCCGAGGCACGAGGAGACGTCGGGGGCCATCTCGGAGGCTGGCTGCCGACCGCGGAGAGGAGTGGAGGGCAGGGTGAGTGGACATGAGCGAAGGAATAAACACATGAATGGCCACTGTGAGTGTGGAGGACAGGGAGACGGGCCAATGAGAGTCGTAAGTGTGTCCTTACACGGGGAAGCAAGGGAAATAAAAACACGGAGAGCAGGGTTTGGCCCCGTCGCCAAGCCACTGACTCACTATGCTAGCCAAGCTCAAATCTGTCCTCTAGACCTGACGCTGAAAAATATGCTCATCCCACTGGAAACTTCTTTCATATGCGTAGTTCTCTCCTCTGCTGGCAAGAGGCTTCTGAGAGGAGGGGCTCTTCATCTCCGCACCACCTGCCACGCAGTGCCTGCACTATGCGAAGCCCCGAGGTGTGCTCAAGCAGATGAGTCGACTGGCCTGTGTAGCACCCGTCCTGGCAGCCCTGGGAAACTCGTCTTTTTCTTCTTCACAGAGATTCCCCAACTCTCAACCACGTTTCATTCCCGAAAACTAGTCTCTTCTTTTTCAGTGACATTGTATCAAAATATTATGCAGAACTGATATCATGTGCCTCCTGGTGATACGAAGGGACACATTATCTGTGTAATATGCCTTGTAAAAATATTTGGCTTAAAATATCATAAGGAACAATCAGACAAATTCAGCCTGGAACATTCTATAAGACAATTGGCCTGGCTGCTTCAAAAATGTCAGTGTCATGAAAGAAACATTTTATATATATATATATANATTATGGCCACATGCCTGAGCCTGGCAGTCACACTGTCCCATAGCTTTCTGTTCACTGTCAGTCCAGGCGCGGGGCCTGTGACAGAGGGCAGGCAGAGAGCAGTGGTCCAGTGTGGAATCACTTTCTGAACTGCCCAGGAAAACAGTGCAGCCGACCATCCCTTACATGATTCCTGGTCTTTTAAGCCGGCAGCGGAAATGACAGTCACCAGCCCGCAGAAAACGTGCTGCTGCTGCTTTGAACACCTTTTCTTGTGCTCTTCTTGTGAACATCTCGTCTGTGTACCTGACTTTCCTTTTTGTTTGTTTTCAGCGTGCTTCAGTGACAGTCATTCCAGGTGCTGAAGGGTGCCGAAGTGAGCCGCACGGGGTGGGGAACACGGCACAGGACAGGTAGGACCTGAGAAATGCAACTTGCGAAAGCCTTGAACTGAATGGAGACTGGGACCCCTGAGTGTGTCTGAGTGGACTGCCAGCCTGCTGGCAGTGGCTTGGTGCAGGAGAAGCGTGACTTGGATGCCAGCTGCTTGAGCTCACTCTTGGACAAGATGGAAGAAGAACTGGACTGTCCAACCTCCTCTGAAAAACGCTATTTCCCCGAATCTCTGGATTCCAGTGATGGGGACGAGGAGGGCATTTTGGCCTGTGAGGATTTGGAACTGAACCCTTTTGATGGGCTGCCATATTCGTCACGTTATTATAAACTTCTGAAGGAAAGAGAAGCCCTTCCGATATGGAAAGAAAAATACTCCTTTATGGAGAATCTGCTTCAGAATCAGATTGTGATCATTTCAGGAGACGCTAAGTGCGGCAGGAGCTCTCAGGTGAGGTGCCACCTCGAAACACCATTGGCTTCATATTCTGCTTTTTTTATTACTTAAATAATTACAGTGTCACAGCTTAGTGTTGTTTTAATAACAATCTAACTTAAACCCAAAAAACAAGATGAGCGAGCATTAGCAATTCAGCCGTGACAATTAAGTTACCTAATTTTACATGTTCAAGCCAGATGAATAACAGTTAATAATATTTAATGTGCATGTTGTGTTTAGTGTACCACTGAAGTTTCTCTAGCAAAAATCATTTATTTATTTATTATCTCGTTGCACATACTATATTTTAAAAGATGTTATTTGCCTGCCACAGCTTTGGGGCTGTGACTGCCATGTTTACATGCCCTGCAGTCTGATAATCAAGATGTTAGAATGTGCTTATTGGCGAAGCTGGGTAAGCTACAGAAATTCAAAAGCACAAGGAAATCCTTGTTTTCCTGACTACAAGGAATAACTGAGCGACCGCACATTTCAGGATCTAATGAGGAGGGAAGAGTTAGAGTAGATCGTTAGTGAGTACTTACTATCTGCTTTGTTGTTCCATTTGATTTTAGTGAAATCTATATTTTACCCTTACATTGTAAAGCAAGAAGTATTTTTATTATGAAATTAATTTCTAGGTTCTCATGATGTAAGGATTGTATTAGACAACAGAGATAATCCGATGGAAGCCCTTTACTTCTCAGGTGATGAAACGTGGCCCAGAGGATATGATGATCTAACTAGTGTGACACAGACACAACTTTCTGAGCTGGAATTACAGACACTCCCACTATGCATCGCTGCTCCCAAGCTGTTTATTATCGCTGAGGCTTGCTTGTTTTAAACATAACTTGAAGAGAGGAAGGATGGACAATAGGTGTTTTTTCTTTATCTGATTTGTAGCTGCTAATAGCAAGGGTTTATTATGATTTGCTATTTGTGATGATAAGTTATTCTTAGAAGGAATTATTTCGGTTTGTCATAAGCATCTCATGATGAAACTGAATGAGTAATTTTCCTGGTTTCTGTGGACAAAAGCCAAGTTTAAAGTTATTAATATTTTTCTTTTTTAGTAATTTTAGACTTACAAAAATAGTACAAAGATTTTTAATATATTATTCACCCCATGTTAACATTTTATTACATTTGCTTTATCATTCTCTCTCCATACACATGCACACAAATACACATGCACACACGCATGCGCATGCACACACACATGCACACACGCACATTTTTATTCTGAACCTCTTGAGTGTAAGTTGAAGATATGACACCCTTTGCCTCCAGGTACTTCAGCAAGTATTGANTTCTTCAATATTACAATTTCAATTCTATTTGTTATTTTGGAGAGTCTCCACTGAAACGTCTCTATCTAGAGGTAAGTGTGGTAGAAAGCGTACATAGCTTAACCTCACAAAGGCCTCCGTCGCACTTACCGGCGCTGTGCCCTGAGGTGCAGAGCTGGCCTCTCTAAGCCTGTTTCCTCATCTGTGATATATTTACTACGGATATATTTACTGTGCAAGGTAGCTTTAAGGGTTAGTGGAAACGACGTGGAGCACTTAGCATTGAGGGGACAGTCAAATGGCAGATGTTTTAAATATCTTTTTATTGTGGTAAAATATATATAATAAAATGTACTATTTTTACGTGAATGATTTAGTGGCATTTAGGACATTTGCACTGCTGTACAACCATCAGCACTAACTACCTCCAGAACTCTATCATCTTAAAATTAAACCCTGTGCCCATCCATTAAATAAGTCCCCACTCCCCTTCCCTCAGCCACTGTCAACCACTATTCTACCCTCTGTCCCTGTGAAATTGACTGCTCTAGGTAAGTAGTGTCAAAATAAATTTCTAGGCCCAAGATGGAGCCGCTCCTGCCAGGGGCTATGTTCCTGTAAATGTTCTGTCTGACCAAAGACACGGTGTATCCAGCCAGCCGATCCCCAAACACAAAGCCCACTCTGGGCTCCAGACTTATTTCCTTGCTCCTTGATCTTTCTAAATAAGGTCAGATATGGACCCCCGGTCCATGGTTCCCTATCTCTGCACTGCGGCCTCCAAAGCTCCATAAAACTCGCTCTCACCCAAATATCCCTGGGGAAGGCTACTCCACTGCGTGGAAGGCACTGCTCTCCCCCAATCCAAGGGCTGCTGTCTCGAATACAGGACATCCAACTCATTACTAAATTGTTTTGTCATTTCACAGTGGAATCACACAGTACTCGTCCTTTGTGACTGGCTTATTTCCCTTGGCATAATGCCTTCAAGGTCCATCCACGTTGTAGCCTGTGCCAAACGCTAGACAGTACTCCATTGTATGGTTGGAACACATTTTGTTTTATCTGTTCATCTGCTGTTGGAAACCGGGGTTGCTTCCATCTTTTGGCTATTATGATTAATGCAAATGACAAGTGTTTTAACTGCAGATTTTCTTACACAATATCCATGTTAAGTAATCAAAATCCTTTGTCCCAGACCCACAACAAAGGTTCTCCCTTTAGAATACCCGTAAACCTATAGGAGGGGAATACTGATAGCTCCTTCTTCCTGTTGATGGAAACCCTGTTTAAGCTCTTACATTTTCATACCCTCAGGAACAAAAGAATTAAACTATGAGGAAAGAAACAAACTCAATCATAAAGTTATTACAAACTATCAAGTAAATACATAGAGCAATCTAGAGTTTGAAAATGCCACTCAATTACAAATTGTAGGTAAAACTGCGCTTCCGTGGCAAAACGATGCATTATTCAGGTCACGCACTTCCAGTTTTCCAGTCTAGCCTGGTGCTGCCTTTCACCTATTTTATTATACAAGGAGTTAAGTGGAAAAGAACCGATGGCAATGCAAATGGTTCTGGTCTGTGGTTGTGGAAATGAGTCTGGGACAACCCTACCCCAACGTGGCAAAGACACTTTTGCATCATTTTCAAGTTTCATATTCCTGGGTCTATTCCTAGTAGAGCAGGGTCAACGAGCCTCCTCCAATTTTCCCCAGAGTTTTGACAACTGCTTCCTGCCTCCGTCTCTCAGATCTGATGCAAGTTCATTGCCAGAAGTTTTATCTCAGGCCACACTTCTGATCGCCACCACCGCCTTCCACTCCCCTCCTACAGGGAGCCAACCCTTCAGAAAGTACAAGTCGAGCCCACAGAGAGATGGGGGATCCGGGCTTCAGGGTGCGTACTTTCCACCATGGGGCAATATCCCCCAAATTCGTTCTCGGAGGTAGGAAGGGGAAGATTGTAGGCATTACAACGGCGCTTTGGGGCCTGCCCAAGCTCAGCCATCCCTGACAAAATCTTATTCCTTAGTATTTAATTTATCTTCTGGGGAGAATTAATTTTTTTCCTTGGGGAAATAATGAATATGGTTAAGAAGCACTGCCTTGGGGCAAGCTTTCTTTATCCCTATCACTGTAGGTTTGCTCTACCTTCAAATTTTCAACCCTGCCTACATTTTCAGGCCCTCCGCTTGCTTAGTCAACCACCACTTGAGTGCCTACTAAGTGTCTGCATTGCAAACATGCTGGTGACACAGCATGAACAGTGTCATCTGGTCCTGTCCTCAGGGGACTTAGTCTAACTGAGGCAAAGAGCGTGGTGTGGAAATTACAACATGAAAAGAGGTTACCGAGATTAAAAAAAAAAAAGGCATAAAAACAGATGCACAACGGAGCTTTGGAAAAATGAAAAAGTAATGCCAAGTTAGAAGGTGACATCTCAAAGAATGAGGATTGTTACATACTCTGTGAGGCAGGGGGACCAATCCCACGTTGTTCAGGCATGTAGGGAGTTTAGAAATAATAGTTCTAATGGTAACTTGAGTGTGCTGCTGGCATCATCACAACTTTGACGCAATTTTAGATAAAAACAAATAAATTTACAAAGTAAGCGGATGCCATTTGGGAGTGGTGGTGGCACTGGCTGCTGTCAGAGGAGAGAGCTTTGGTGGAAACAGTTGTGGCAAACCAGGCTGACTCACGCTAAGTTATCTGTAATCAAGTTGCCATCTAATAACTGACTGGTGCACTGATGGAACGCCAGGCCCAGGGCAGTGTGTGTTTCACAAACACACCCTCCTTTCCGCACGCCACTAAAGGACTCAAGTTCAGGTGTCATGCAGAATGAGCGACCATCAAAATGCGGACACGTGCTCAGAGAAGGATGGGGAGACCGCTGGTCTACCTTGGAATCATTTCAGTATTTATGTTAACAATCACCAGTTCAGAAAGCAAGGGGACAGAAGTCACGAGTTTTTCTTAAAAGGCTTCACCATTTTGTCTTCTTTTCCCCTTTTAGGAAACAATGAGTTTTGACAATTGGGCTCATTGTCAATAGGTTTGTTTTGTTTTCATGATTTATTCCACTTAATTCATTAAGCATTGTGATTTCTTGGAAGTTTTGAAAATTCTGAATGTGTGCTCTAACATTGGTTCTCATGGAAGCTAACCACCACATAGTAAATAGATAAAAAATTTTAGACAACAGCTCAAGCGATGAACCAGGATATTTCTCAGGTCAGAACCATTACAATTTTTTAATTCAGTTTCAAACCAACCAGGCTATGCTATTATCAAAAGCAGTTAGCTTAAGTCGCCAATGTTTTTGAGAAGATGATACTTTTTTTTTCCCTGAAGGTTTAAGATCTCAAAATAAATAAAGATATTGGCAGTATAAATAATAAGAAAACAGGAGGACTAGAGGTATAGCGATTCCTGAGCTCAGGGAAGAGGAGGAAGGTTAAGTAGAAGTTTGTATTGATGCTTCACTCTCCACTGGAAAAGCACTTCATTTAGCTTGTGGTGCGGCTGTTAGCACTTACACAGGGAACAACAAACAGGTTTTATCTCATGTGCAAATAATCGATAAGGATTGACTACCTCGAGGAGCCTGGGTGAGGTCGACCTTAATGGGAAAGGTCGCAGTAGCTGCCCAGGCACAGAGGCAGGGCGTGGCCACACACATGCTGCGAGTTTGCTGATCCCACCTTAAATCCATCAGTCATCAAAAATGATTGGGACCTTGCCAGGCCACC